GCTACATAATAGATACTATAATATAGCTACTATACGCTATATAATAGATACTATAATATAGCTACTATACGCTAGCTGCTACCTTCCTAGCACTGCTACTCTTCCCGCACTGACCTGCTAATCTATAGCTACTATACGCTATATAATAGATACTATAATATAGCTACTATACGCTATATAATAGATACTATAATATAGCTACTATACGCTATATAATAGATACTATAATATAGCTACTATACGCTATATAATAAATACTATAATATAGCTACTATACGCTATATTATAGATACTATAATATAGCTACTATATGCTATATAAATATATACTATAATATAGCTACTATACGCTATATAATATATACTATAATATAGCTACTATACGCTAGCTGCTACCTTCCTAGAACTGCTACTCTTCCCGCACTGCCCTGCTAATCTATATAGCTACTATACGCTGCTACCTTCTTAGAACTGCTACTCTTCCCGCACTTACCTGCTAATCTATATAGCTATAGTATACGCTATAGCTGCTACCCTCCTAGATCATATATAGCTCTAGAACTCTAGCCCTTCGCTCTGCCACAGGCGAGCGAAAGGCTATTGTTCTAGAGCTAGGGTCAGCATATACGTACAACACCAGCAGTTGTACCCGCGTATGTCTCTCTCTTCAGCACAGGCTGCGCGACAAATCACAGCGGTGCAGTGAAAGGCTACACACGCGTAGAACTGTAATATCGGAAGAGTCCAAGTACATAAAAAAAGACATTCTGCAGAGGCTGGGAGACACTCACCGACACTCTCACAGACTGGGAATAACAAGAAAAAAATCAGGAGCGACCGTGAATATATAGCAGGGACTGTGTACAACACCGGGGTGCTACCATGTGTTTCTGGTAGAGCGTTGAGCCATCAGAAGGCTAGCAGGGCGGGACGAGGCCCGCACTCATGTCCATCTGTATGTCGCCTCGGGGCCACGAGCCACATATGTGTGTATAAACACACCCGAGCGCGGCTGTCCAGCTAGAGTAGTACACGGAAGATCACGCGCATAGCGACACGAAGGCGGGCCCTGTGTCTTTACATGCCGAAATGTATCCGTTACCGACTCGTCGTGAAAGAGGAAGAGGAAGAGAGAGAGGGGGGAGGAAGAGAGGGGGGAGGAAGAGAGAGAGAGAGGGAGAGGGAGATGAGGGAAAGAGAGAGAGAGAGAGAGAGGGGGGAGGAAGAGAGAGAGGGTGTAGGAAGAGAGAGGGGGCGAGAGAGAGAGAGAGCGAGAGAGAGAGGGTGAGGGAGAGAGCGAGAAAAAGAGGGGGAGGAAGAGAGAGAGAGAGAGATGGGGAAAGAGAGAGAGAGAATGGGGATGAAGAGAGAGAGAGGGGTAGGAAGAGAGCGAAAGAGGGGCTGAGAGAGAGAGAAAAAGAGCGAGAGAGAGGGTGAGGAAGAAAGAGGGGGAGGAAGAGAGGGGGAGAGAGCGAAAGCATTCCTTCTCCAGGATTCTCAGTGAAAGTGGGTTGTCATCTGAGCGGCTCATGGCAGTCTATACAGAGCTATAAGCAAGCCGATGCTGCGCGTCCTTCTCTAATGACGATCACGGATACTCAACTCTCGTCAACGTCGAAGCCCTGCAAGATAAGAAGGAGACAAATCAATGGCGAACAGCGCGCGTGCCGGATATTATTTACCTTCGCGGGCTATTTCTGGGGGAACTAGCGGCGGCGGCGGGCAGCCACCTTCCCCCCTCCCCCCGCCGCCACGCTCTACACAGGAAGCCATAGCGACGATAAGAGAAGGTTCGTGGTGCGAGCACGCTTTAGTAGCTTTAGTACCCTTCCCCCAGCTTTAGTACTATAAGCCCTTCGCTCCGCCAGAGGAGGAGCCAGCGGCGGAGCGAAGGGCTATATAGTACTATAGAGCTAGCCTTTCCCCTACTCGTTACCCCGCCATAAAGAATACTGACGTCAATAAACCGCGCGCGAGTTCGCGTTGATATTTTTCTTTCGCTGTTTAATATCTGGACCCGCGGCCGCAGCGGATGGTATACATTGACGGCGCTGTGCTGTGATGATTGCTGGAAACACGCAGCGTCGACACTCAACCCTTCCGCGCACTCCCCTGTAAACTCGGGGAAGGCTCCTCTTTCACGACGACCCAGCCTAGATTCCCGCGTCGGCAT